TCACAAACATTGTGTAGAAAGTTAGTAGGTCTTATAAATTAATCTGATATATACAGATATACATATCATTAATCACAAACATTGTGTAGAAAGTTAGTAGTTATTATAAATTAATCTGATATATACAGATATACATATCATTAATCACAAACATTGTGTAGAAAGTTAGTAGTTATTATAAATTAATCTGATATATACAGATACACATATCATTAATCATAAACATTGTAAAGAAAGTTAGTAAGTCTTATAAATTAATCTGATATATACAGATATACATATAATTAATCACAAATATCATGGAGAATGTTAGTAGTTATTATAAATTAATCTGATATATACAGATATACATATAATTAATCACAAATATCATGGAGAATGTTAGTAGTTATTATAAGTTAATCTGATATATAGAGATATACATATCATTAATCATAAACATCGTGTAGAAAGTTAGTAGTTATTATAAATTAATCCCATATATCGATACATAAATCTACAACTTAAATTAGTTTCATATAATGTGAGTTTATTTACTTTGATAGGATGTTCTGTGAGTTTACTTAGTTTTAGGATATTCAGTGAGGTAAGTTAGTTTGATAGGATACACTGTGAGTTTCGTTAGTTTTGTAAGATATACTGTGAGTTTAGTTAGTTTTATTATACATTCAGTGAGTTTAATTATTTTTAGGATATTCAGTGAGGTAAGTTAGTTTGATAGGATACACTGTGAGTTTTGTTAGTTTTGTAAGATATTCAGTGAGGTAAGTTAGTTTGATAGGATACACTGTGAGTTTTGTTAGTTCAGTATTATCTTTTCTCACTACAATCGAAAAAGTGTAAACACAGCTATAAAACTGCCAATCATTCTTCGTCAGTCATATTACTTGGAATCTTAACAGTCATTAGATACACCCGTAAGGTTTGTTTATGGAGAAAAATTAAACATTAAGGGCTACCTAGTGTTTTCTTCCTCCAATTCAACGCTACCGCCCCACATTGCTATTACGGTTTATAGTGCAGCAGTGTCACTCTCCGCAGGGTTGGGTAAGTGCGTCTTTATGCGCCATACGAGTACAAGTAGAAGCCAGAACTCTGGCAGGCTGATGTAGTGTTGTTTCCTACTGGAGATTGTGTCTACGGTATTGGTCGATGTGAAGGACCAGCCCTGCGGAGTAGAAGATTTATTACAACTCCGTTGTTAGAGAGATTTATAACATACTAGTGTAAGTATGTCTTTTCGCTCGTCGTGACATGGTAAGCAAAATATATATCAATTTGTAGAGATAAAAAGCGAGTATTTAAACTTGTTTGGTATGTTGACAGATAACGCCATTTGAAAGCTAAGAAAAAAAAGTCATAACTTACAAACGTCTGGTGTCGCTGTCGTCGTCGCCATTAAGGCAGGGTGTAGCAAGTGTGGCCTAGAACATTTATAATCTGTTGCTGAGAGCAAATATTTAAATATTAAATTAAATATTTAATACGAAATAAATAATAAAAGATGAAAACTTAACCAAACTATCTTGATCTTTATGGGAACGAATTAGAGACTTAAGCTTCTGGAAGCAATAGTTGTATCAAATCGCCAAACTGTTGGCTTCTTTAGATAATAAGTCGCCATTTGTTGTAAATCGTAAATATAACTAAATGTAACCGATGATCTCGCTGAGAGTGTAAGGTTCAACAAGCGTTTGTTAATTGTTGGCAGAGACGCAAAGTGCTAACACTAAATCTTCAGTTAGTGCTCAAAACACATTTATATAGAAAATCAAATCATTAGCAATACATCTTTGGAGAGACAAAGTTCTAACAGTACATCTGTAGAGACAAAGTGCTAACAGTACATCTGTAGAGACAAAGTTCTAACAGTACATCTGGAGAGGCAAAGTTCTAACAGTACATCTGTAGAGACAAAGTGTTAACAGTACATCTGGAGAGGCAAAGTTCTAACACTACATCTGGAGAGGCAAAGTTCTAACAGTATATCTGGATAGGCAGAGTGCTGAAAGTACTCCTGGAGAGGCAGAGTGCTAACAGTACTCCTGGAGAGGCAGAGTGCTAACAGTACTCCTGGAGAGGCAAAGTGCTAACAGTACTTCTGAAGAGGCAAAGTTCTAACAGTATATCTGGAGAGGCAAAGTGCTAACAGTACATCTGGAGAGGCAAAGTGCTAACAGTACATCTGGAGAAGCAAAGTGCTAACAGTACATCTGGAGAGACAAAGTGCTAACAGTACATCTGGAGAGACGAAGTGCTAACAGTACATCTGGAGAGGCAAAGTGCTAACAGTACATCTGGAGAGACGAAGTGCTAACAGTACATCTGGAGAGACGAAGTGCTAACAGTACATCTGGAGAGGCAAAGTGCTAACAGTACATCTGGAGAGACGAAGTGCTAACAGTACATCTGGAGAGACGAAGTGCTAACACTACATCTGGAGAGGCAAAGTGCTAACACTACACCTATAGATAACCAGAGATTCTCCATTATAAAACATGAAAATACACACACCCTAGAAAGCTACTGACCAGTTTCAGAATTATTCTTAACTTTCGTCTTGGAAGATGTAAAGCTACGTTTTCCATAATGCTAATGTTAGATGTTCCTTCATTTCTCTCCTACTGGGTGGTTCCTCCAGAATCTTAAAACCTTCCTGTGAATGAATACCTCTTGGAAAAGTTAAGACGTCCTGGTAAGCCTTTCTTCACTAAGACTTAGAATAATTTGGTATTTAAATAACAATTATATGAAAAGAAATGAAAGCATATTAAAAAGACGAAGTATAAAACAAGAAAACTGAAAAAAAAACATTTTAAGCCTTTCAAGAGGGCGTTTTATTTAAATTTCCCATTCTTAGAGCCTTTAATCCTTAATGATTCGTTCCTACCTGCCTCGGACTGGTATTCAGGGGGAATGAACGTATGTTGCTGGGAGGCACTGGTCCAAGGACATTCGTCCTCTGGAAATTTATGTGCCTCTTTCACAGAATGCTGGGTTTCTTGTTGACAGTAGTAATCATCGGCCGAATGAAGACGCTCATCCAGGGGTGTGGAAACTTGGAATGGTGACGAGGACTCCAGACAGGGGTCTCCTCGCTGGATTCTGACTTGCTGCAGCTCGTTTTGCATAAATAACGGGTGGGACCCATAATGTACACTCTCGTCGGGGTAAAGTGAACGGTGACAATTCTGAAGTATATCCGAGTTATAACCGCTGAATCCGTTGGTCATGTCCGTTTGTTGATTGTAAAAGGTTACATAGTCAACCTGCCGCGGATCGTAGAGGGGTTTCTGCATTTCGAAACACTTGGTCAAGTTTCGTGCAAGCTGACAGCAGTCTGTCATCGTGATGAAGCTGACGGCCGACTGGCGGGAGTAGTCATGTGACCGGAGTTCATCCAATCCACTGACAGGACTTGAACCTGCGGAAAAGTAGAAGACCGCTACGAACAGCCTGAATGGAGAATGTCATCAATAACTGACCAGCACATGCACGTGACGACTATCCCGAGGGGGCTATAAACAACTCATAAACCTGCTGGAGCGCTACCCGTCCGATCGGATCTTCAACTCGGGGTGAGTGGGGGGGGGGAATATAAGTACAAATACGCCGCCGTTTCAGATAATTTGTAATCCTGCGAAGTCGCTGACCTGATACACTCGGCAGGAAGGTTTTAATCATTAGGAGCTACCAAAGTAACTTTGTGTTACTTACTGTCAATGAAATCCTCAAGTATTCATTAGGACATGATAGGCGTTTATTCAGCTGTATTATGATTATTTACTGTCCGTGGAATCACCAAATGTTCATTAGGACATGATAGGCGTTTATTCAGCTGTATTATAATTATTTACTGTCCGTGGAATCACCAAATGTTCATTTGGACATGATAAGCGTTTATTCAGCTGTATTATTACTATTTACTGTCCGTGGAATCACCAAATGTTCATTATGACATGATAGGCGTTTATTCAGCTGTATTATTATTATTTACTGTCCGTGGAATCACCAAATGTTCATTTGGACATGATAGGCGTTTATTCAGCTGTATTATGATTATTTACTGTCAGGGGAATCACCAAATGTTCATTAGGACATGATAGGCGTTTATTCAGCTGTATTATGATTATTTACTGTCAGAGGAATCTCCAAATGTTCATTAGGACATGATAGGCGTTTATTCAGCTGTATTATGATTATTTACTGTCCGTGGAATCACCAAATGTTCATTAAGACATGATAGGCGTTTATTCAGCAGTATTGTTATTATTATTTACTGTCCGTGGAATCACTAAATGTTCATTCGCCTATCATGTCCTAATGAACATTTGGTGATTCCTCTGACAGTAAATAATCATAATACAGCTGAATAAAGCCAGGAACATTTTTTGTTTGTTTGTTTTATGGGAAAACCCGTATATGCATGACGTATCCTGTGAAGAAAACTTTATATCTGCTTTTTTTCTCGTTTAGGCTTAACTCTCATTATCACTTTCACTAAATATAATACAGAGGACATTGATTTACTGCAAACATTACGTGCTTAGCGGAGCATTGTACTAACAAGTCAACGCGAACCTCGTCAAGTCATGCGTACAGGTAGACAGGTGACGAACGAGGCTTCTGGGATACAAGTAATGTTCGACTTCAGCCACAAATCGGAAGGAAAAATAGAAACGTCCGTTTCAGCATGTTATCAACTCCACCTCCTTTATTTTTTTTTGTTTTGTTTGTTCTACATGTGTACGAACTGGATATTTCGTTGAATACTAGCTAAAACTAAGATAGTAGCTCGTTACGAACTGGATATTTCGTTGAATACTAGCTAAAACTAAGGTAGTAGTTCGTTACGATGTGGATATTTCGTTGAATACTAGCTAAAACTAAAGTAGTAGTTCGTTACGAACTGGATATTTCGTTGAATACTAGCTAAAAATAAGGTAGTAGTTCGTTACGAACTGGATATTTCGTTGAATACTAGCTAAAACTAAGGTAGTAGTTCGTTACGAACTGGATATTTCGTTGAATATTAGCTAAAACTAAAAATAGTAGTTCGTTACGAACTGGATATTTCGTTGAATACTAGCTAAAACTAAAGTAGTAGTTCGTTACGAACTGGATATTTCGTTGAATACTAGCTAAAAATAAGGTAGTAGTTCGTTACGAACTGGATATTTCGTTGAATACTAGCTAAAACTAAAATGGTAGCTCGTTCTGACAATCTTAACTTCTGCTTCCGTTGTCTCTCAACAGTGTGTCCAACAGAGCACACGTGTATTGAACCATTAACACACGAGACCAAACAATATTTACGGCATTGTGTTGACATATTTTACTGCAATAAGTGTTACTGGTGGCTTAACACTACATTTATATTAACTAAATTAAACATTTAACCAACATTCATTCTCAACATTACATATATTTTTTTAATCGCCACAGCTCAGCTGCTGACGAACAAGAGGCTGGGCCTATGCACCCGGCTGGCTGTTCGGGCGGACCCTATTGTCTAAGTCCATCAATCACGTGCACTGCATGTCCGCGTGACACGGCAGAACGCCTCGTTCATATACAGCCTGTCTCTATCCAAAGCCTCTCTGATACACGTTGTTCCAGTAAAAGCGTGGTTTGTCCAAAATGACAGACCGGGCGTCGTCGCTTGATAAAATATAGAACAAAAAAACAGAACAACACTTGATTAGAATACAGACATCCGTTCCAAGTAACTGGACCAATAAGAAACACTGATTACAATATAGATATCCATTCCAAATCACTGGTTCTATAAGGAAAAGTGATTACGGTCAGTGTTTCTTATTGGTCCAGTTACTTGGAACGGATGTCTATATTGGAATGGATATCTATATTGTAAGTAACTGGACCAATAAGAAACACTGATTACAATATAGATATCCATTCCAAATCGCTGGTCCAATAAGGAAAAGTGATTACAATATAGACATCCGTTTCAAGTAGCTGGACCAATAAGAAACACTGATTACAATATAGATATCCATTCCAAATCGCTGGTCCAATAAGGAAAAGTGGTTACAGTATAGACATCCGTTTCAAGTAGCTGGTCAAAATTAAGCCAGGCCCTTTTGTTTCGATGCTTTGTAATCAACCAGTTCTTGATTTGGCCTTCTCCTTTACCTCAACATGCCTCGACTGGACTTTGCCTTCACGTCTGCCTACCTCAGTATATATATCTTTTAACCACGGCCCTGTTAGAATCAACCCTAGACGACGACAACGAATTGGGGGAAGCAATACTGTGGTGGACTCGACGGCTTACGTCGTGTCGTGCAGCCGCCAACAAACAACAGATCAGATCTTTTCGGTGGCAAGTCAAGGCAGAAAGAATAATCCAGTACCGAACATCCCTAAAATAATTTCATTAAATACAACTGTGAGCCAATCAATTAAGTGCGGGGCAAAGAGAAATCCAAATTTCTGACCACCCTTGATTTGAAAACAAACTACCAAAATTGACGACGAAAAAGCTGGTCAACCCAATCAAAGTAACTGTAATATAGACATTCGTTCCAAATGGTTGAACCAATAAGGAACAGTTAGTGTTATCACTCATGATGGTAAACAAACGACGTAATTAGCATGTATAAATTTTGTTTTTCAGTGCAACGAGGGTTAGGAGTTTGTAAAATCGTCCCAGTGAATCCTGAAGTATCATATTGGACCTAAAACCTGGACAAACGTTACTACAAGAGGTATTGTGTCAGTCTGAAGTATCATATTGAACCCAAAACCTAGACAAACGCTACCACAAGAGGTATTGTGAATACTACAAGAGATTAGTTTATGACTACTTAACAATGTGAATACTACAAGAGATTAGTTTATGACTACTTAACAATGTGAATACTACAAGAGATTAGGCTATGGCTACTTAACAATGTGAATACTACAAGAGATTAGGTTATGACTACTTAACAATGTGAATACTACGGGAGATTAGGCTATGACTACTTAACAATGTGAATACAACAAGAGATTAGGCTATGACTACTTAACAATGTGAATACAACAAGAGATTAGGCTAAGACTACTTAACAATGTGAATACTACAAGAGATTAGGCTAAGACTACTTAACAATGTGAATACTACAAGAGATTAGGCTAAGACTACTTAACAATGTGAATACTACAAGAGATTAGGCTAAGACTACTTAGCAATGGGAATACGACAAGAGATTAGTTTATGACTACTTAACAATGTGAATACAACAAGAGATTAGGCTATGGCTACTTAACAATGTGAATACTACAAGAGATTAGGTTATGACTACTTAACAATGTGAATACTACGGGAGATTAAGCTATGACTACTTAACAATGTGAATACTACGGGAGATTAGGTTATGACTACTTAACAATGTGAATACTACAAGAGATTAGGCTAAGACTACTTAACAATGTGAATACTACAGGAGATTAGGCTATGGCTACTTAACAATGTGAAGTCAAAAAAATCTTTGCTACGATATAACAGATGGGGATAATAATAAAACCTAGGTTATAATTGAACCAATACTTTCTCTCACCTAGGTTATAATTGAACCAATAGTTTTTCTCACCTAGGTTATAATTGAACCAATAGTTTTTCTCACCTAGGTTATAATTGAACCAATAGTTTTCTCTCACCTAGGTTATAATTGAACCAATAGTTTTCTCTCACCTAGGTTATAATTGAACCAATACTTTCTCTCACCTAGGTTATAATTGAACCAATAGTTTTTCTCACCTAGGTTATAATTGAACCAATACTTTCTCTCACCTAGGTTATAATTGAACCAATACTTTCTCTCACCTAGGTTATAATTGAACCAATAGTTTTCTCACCTAGGTTATAATTGAACCAATAGTTTTCTCTCACCTAGGTTATAATTGAACCAATACTTTCTCTCACCTAGGTTATAATTGAACCAATAGTTTTTCTCACCTAGGTTATAATTG